ACGTGCCCCTACTGGAGCCTCTATAAACCGTAGGCCCAGTATACACAATTTGGCTTATTTGTACATCTTTCGAGACGAGTAGGGGATTACAGTGGTCCATATATAGACCCTGTTTTAGACAAATGAGAGAGTTTATGATTTTCCACTAAAATATAGTTGAAAGTAGAATCACTGTGCATATTCACATAGATTACTATCAATTGACCAAATCAGGTCACAATACCGCACGCGAAAACCTCGGCATTCATTTGATTAACGTGTAGGGAACAAGTTCTGTTAGTCATTCGCCTAAATTTATACTTTCTCGTGAAATCTTGAGCAAGAAAGTTATACGAGAATCAGTCATACAATTCAAACTGTTACTTAGAAGTTGAACAAAAATTAGGTTAGCTAAATATAGTAAGAGAGACGCGTGTATTATCCTCGTGAGTTTGCGTTTAGGGGTTTAGTTTGAGTTTAATAAGAAAGTAAAAGATTTTATTTTTAAGGTAACAGGCATATTTTTGTTGTTAAGATATACCTGCTCACCTCTGGTGTCAGATGGTATTAAAGCTATTGTGGTTTATTTAATTATGTGTAATTGTTTTTTGAAATGGGGATTGTACCAGTTCCTTGATTTTTAATTTAAAACATGTCAAATAATAACTTTTATAAAAATGAAAGGTTATCCATTTTAAAGTCAACAGATAAAGTTTTGACCTTTTTTTCTGGTTTATCATATTTATGTAATGTTAGTGTCTGCCCAAATTTATAAAGTACTAACTTAGACTTTGAGATTTTTGTATCGAACCTTTTTGTATTTATAGTTTTATCCATGTTAACTGCAGTAAGTCACAGTAGGAAGAAAGCATCTCTTTAGTTCTCCACTATTCCTCTATTCTATTTATATAATACATTTTTACTTTCCCATCATCTTCATTATTACCGTCATTTATTACGTCATTATCGTTATTATCAGTGATCACCATTACTGTCATTGCCTATTTTAATTGTCATCATCATGTTATTTATCAATAATATCATCATTATCTTATTTATCAACATTATATTATCATCATCATTCACTACGAATAAAACATAATAATATAAAAATAGCAAGACAGTATATCATAAAACATCATCATGATCATCGTCATCATTAGCTTCAACTTGTTCCTTGACATGCAGTGCCTGAGAATGTTCGTCTCACTTCTTTAATCCTACTGAGCTGTCTTCTATTCTGACTGCCTGTCATTAATAGTCATATCAGCTTTCACATCATCTATTTTTGCAAAAGGTTATAAATACAATAATCATGAAACGAAAGCAAAAATCTTGTAAAAATGACTTTGTTTCCAAAAAAAGGGGGGGGGGGGATTTTTATTGTTGAGAGTCTCTTTCCACAAAATCAAATAAAACAAAAACCACAAACTAATAATAGGATTTCAACTATACATAGACAAACTTGATAAACATCGTAAACCCTTCCAACCAGAGCTCTAGTTTCCAGTCTTATTATTTGTGTATGTCCATTTGCTGCCTTTCCTTAATAATGTTTGTTTGTCCATGGAGGATTTAGTTTAGACTAAAACTAATTTGTCAAAGCTCTGTGGTGTTAGTTTTGGCTTTGAAGGGCAAGTTGAAACAATGCATATTATCTCAACGTTTGATTATGGTACATGATATTAAATCATAACTCCACTAATTAATATTGTTGTTTTTATTTCCACTTTTAAACAGATGAATTATATTACCGTAATTGATTCATCATATCAGCTATGCATTCAACCTTTAGAATTGATATACAGGCATATAACTTTTTTCTGGAATAGTTTCCTTCGTACAGATAACATTATAATTCATACCACGGCCAGGGTTGAAAGCTTCCCGAAGGTGATAGCATCAACAATTCATTTTACCATCAATCTAATCGGGCTTTCTTTGTACCTCGCCATCTTAACCAGGGCTTCCATACAGTGATAGTCTTTGTTCTTATTTGCTGTTTTCTTTGATAGATGGTCATTCCACTGCCATTTATTCATATTGATTATATGGATTATATCTGCAACAATCATTTAAATTATAATTCTTTCATTTGTCCTACCAATCCCTTTTTTGCAAATCCTACAAAAAATACAATCTATGTTTCTGTCATTGCTGTCGTTATTAACCAAATGAACGTTCTTGTTTTTCAATAGGAACCAAAGTTAAAGCGTAGTAACTCCGACCCCAATCTCTCGGAGGCAGATGACATGTTGAAGCGCAAGGAAATAGCTATGACCTTTCCAGTAAGTTGACCTGGTTTATTTTAAATTCTGATTAGTCGTGATGGGTCATTAATTGATTGATTTGCTTTGTTATGTAATCTACTTATTTATCTTTGTGTTTGACTGTATAATGATTACAGGTAGGATGGTAAGACAGTACTGTAGGAGAATACTAAACCATAGTAGTATTATTTATGATACATTGTAGAGGCTCCACTGAAAACCAACGTTGCTCAATGGCACATCCTGATTTAATGTCAAGAAAGAAATAATTAAAATAAAGTTTCAGTAGAAAATTTAAAAAACAAAAACAAAATTCATAAAACAAAAATATAAATTTAACTGAATAAAACAAAATTTGTAAAGCTGAAACTAAAAAATATTGTCAGCAATTTAAAAATGAGTCATTTAATATTGTGAAAAAATGCAGTGAAAGAAGTAGCTTTATAATGATTTCATTGTTTATTGAACTGTTGTTCATACTGTAATAATATTATAATGTAGGTTGATGCTTCTGCTCCTAAAAAATATTATTTAAAAATTCTGATTCAATGAAGCTTAAGTCATATCTTGGGTATCCAATATATTCCTTCAACTAAAGCAAGACTTCTTTTGTTTTGCGAACCTGCCTATTAATTATAATAATTTTAACAAAGAATAAAACATTTGTAGCAAACCCAGAAAAAAAAAAACAGATAAAAATGAATAATTAAATAATTAATCCTCAATTAACAAGTTTGTCCTTAGTTAAAGGAATACATAGACAAGCAAAATGGCGTATTATTCATTACCACACAATTTCCACATCTTTAGATCATGGAATGACACTATCTTAACGGATAACCCAATTATTTGTCATGTTTACGGATTAGGCAAGCTGTTTTTGTAAATCAGTACGGGCCTACTGACCTCCTACATACTTAAACAGGATGCCCCAAATAAGAGCCTTTTGTTATTTTTTTGACACGTTACCCACACCTTCAACCCACTATAGAAATCACAGCTAATGTCATCTGATATTACCGTCCACTGGGTATTTAATCTTTTGCTCACAGCCTAGCGTCGTAAAAAATGCAATGGTTCGGCCAAATGTTAAAATTCACCAAGTCAAGGTCCATGATTCCTTTGATTATCATCGCGTATGCCGATCCTTTCTCTCGTTCTTTCCTTCCCCGCTGTGGAATTGTGAACCGCAGATAGTGTCACAATATCCCTGTGACAGCCTTATCGCGAGGCAGCCATGGAGGGACAGTTCTCGTGTAGCTAAAATATCAATTTCCGCTCTGTATTGCACCGTGACTAGCTTTGCCTGGCCTCGAGTACCCATAATTTTATTGGCGCCACTTTTCTTTTGCTAATGGTTATGTGCTGTGTGTGTGTCTGGTCGGAATTGTGTGCAAATCGTGTGCACACACTTGCAGACACATTAAATAAAGAATGGAAATTATACATGTTGAAGTTTTCACCAAAAAAGCCTCATACACATGTCAGAAATCTAACTTGGTGAATTTGTATTTTTTAGATTTCACTTTTTGAAATTTCTGAAGCTTTAAACTCATATTTCAGTCAATTTTTTAGTTAAATTTCCACTAACATTGTAATGTGACAGCCTTATCGCGAGGCAGCCATGGAGGGACAGTTCTCGTGTAGCTAAAATATCAATTTCCGCTCTGTATTGCACCGTGACTAGCTTTGCCTGGCCTCGAGTACCCATAATTTTATTGGCGCCACTTTTCTTTTGCTAATGGTTATGTGCTGTGTGTGTGTCTGGTCGGAATTGTGTGCAAATCGTGTGCACACACTTGCAGACACATTAAATAAAGAATGGAAATTATACATGTTGAAGTTTTCACCAAAAAAGCCTCATACACATGTCAGAAATCTAACTTGGTGAATTTGTATTTTTTAGATTTCACTTTTTGAAATTTCTGAAGCTTTAAACTCATATTTCAGTCAATTTTTTAGTTAAATTTCCACTAACATTGTAATGCGGGTAAAGCAAGTACAGGCTAGGCCAAGCCGAGTAAAGTCGAGCAGGGAAGACATGATGCTTCAGGATAATAGATGATGAGAACATATTTTTTGTCACATGTAAGAATCAAATTGGCATATTCTAAGCCTTCCATACATCAGTAAACAAGTGATTTGAATCGAGGTATCAGACTTATAAATGAAAAACACTATTATTCTACATAACATGCTTTGCGATAACAAAAAAATGAGGGTTGACGTTATTGTTTTATCACATTGGTGCATACCTTATTAATTACTGAGAGAATTCAGACTAATGCCCGGAGGAATTGAGTTACCTACCAGGACCGACAGATCAACATCATAGATGTACTGCAATACATTGAAATAATTATCGTTGATCAAAAATGAAAGTGCCATATCCAATCCCCTCTATCTGGTTTTATTCACACCCAGGTAGACTGTATGAGACTCATTCATATTTTCTGTCAACTCCTCCGTTTTACCAAATATGGCACATCTCAATCCACCAACCTGTATAATCAACCAGGACAGATATTAATTGCCAGGTTATCATGAAAATTTGTACCCACCTGTTTTATAGCTTTCAACATTCCCATGTTTCTTTGCCAGTAAGTCGACTTGTGGTTCGCTCCAGCTAAATAAGATCAAAATCGTTGTCGTTAGTAGCTCCACCACCATGATGCTATTTGGCGAGGTGTATTTTTAGCGGTGTTCTGATTTGCAATTGAGAGGGGAATTTGAAAATAAGTGTTTGTGGAGAAGATTTGCGAACATAACCATGTGGTTGTTATAACATTGTATCATGCAATGCACTTGAGGGTAGAATTGGTGATCACTGGAGGATTGATATGGTACTAGAGGGAAAGACACAGACAGGAAATAGAGTGTCTCAGTCTCATTCTGCCAAAATAACTCTTGATGTGGTCAAGTTATTTTTTGTGTTTGTGCTTTATGTGTTTTTTAAACTTTGTAATACAGTTCTCTCTCCAATTAAAGACCACTTTAAATGGTCTTTTGCAGCTTTGGTCGCTAATTGGGATAATAAATATAAAAGACATTTGTAAATATTTGGCCATAGAAAAGTGGTCTCTACTTGGAGTTGATCTTTAATTGGAGGGTCTTTAATTAGAGGGAGACCAGTATAACTTAGATATCATGTAGAATGAAAAGGTAACAGTCTATCTCCTAATATGGTATTAAAGGTCTCCCTCCAAATAAAGACCATTTTTGGGACTGGGATTTCCATGTTCTTTAGCAGCTTTGGAATAATAAAGATAAAAGACAATTGTTAATTTGGGACCAAAAAGTGGTTTTTAATTGGAGGGTGACCTATATTTTACTAATATCTTGTTAGTATAGCACTATATATGCATATTACATAAATACATATGTATGTACATATATATTACATTTATATACATACTGTATTCAAAGTACCATTAGTTATTTATATTGTTTTTGACTAAAAATTACACTCCTTGAAGCTGCTCCATAAGCTCTTCATAAGCAATTAATATTATAGAACAATATAAAGTAAATAACAGCAGCACTTTTGAGACTAACAATATAGAATTTATTCTCTAGCTCTCGTCCACACAGTGGACTTCATCAGGAAACTATAAATCAGACGGATTATCTGAGCAAAGAGTATAAAAACTGCAAGAGGTCCAATTAATTACAATTAATATTGTAACTTGCAGTGATCTTTTATTTTAGGTTTATTATGCATATTATTTAAAAAACACTATCATTGTTGTTGTTATATTGTTGTTGTTATTTTGTTGGTAATATTATTGTGTTTTATTCTTGTTGTTATGCTTTTGTTGTTGTTCAATTATTATTGTTGCTATATCATTGTTGTTGTTTTCTACCTGATAAATTTACAAACTGTGATTGACATTACTTTAGTTGCGTATCCTACACACTTCATCATCGGCTCGCAAGAGGTTTGACACACATTTCCTTGTCCTCAGTTTTACAGTTGTTGTTTAATCAGCGTTTGATCGCTTGGGCTTCCTGGAACACCTTGAGAAGTGTTTGTCGCCCTCTTGCAGTTGTCTTGATATGCATGTGTACATGTTGACTCGGTTGAATTTTCTGATAAATATCAAATATTGTTATTCTTTGATTAACTGAAATAGCAACTCTCATTTGTATTATTATTATTGTTGTTAATACTATTGTCTATCATATTATTGCTCTTATATTTTGTTTTTTTTTAATCTTCCTTCTTTACAGGGTCTCTTTCATTTGAAGAAAGGATGGCTAATAAAACAAGGTGAAAGTGAACAGGTAATACAAAAATTCTTTTTAATGATCATTAATTTGTTTGGTTATTTCATTTTTTGTTTTGTTGGCTTATTATCGAATAAAAATACACTATACATTATTTGATGATATATTCGGATTGAAATTGGAAAGATTTTTGGATGGAATCGTCGCTTTCATAATTATCGAAAACACTTGTTGCTTAACTGGTTCAAAGTTAAGAGTTTTGTTTGCAATCAGTCACTTCTAAAATCAGACAAAATTACTTTGATGACTGGCGTTGCATCAATTGTTTTTCCCAACCAGGTGTGTGAAGCAGGTACTTGGCCAATGAAATTACCAGAACACGGACTCCTTGGAGACGCCCTATGTTGATAAAAATAGACTTATCTTGAACTAAATCTTGAGGCTAGTAATTCGCCTGAGAGAGACTATTGAAAGGAAAACACTTTCACTTTAAAAACACTATTGCCCAACCCTAAGTATGGTTCCAGAAATAGACGAGAATAAAGATCTTTTCCAATTTTTTTTTTTTTTAGAATATTCAAAGAATATAATTTGGTACTTCATCTATATAAAAGTTCCATATTCTTGATTTGGAAATTTGATATTTGTATTACACTGAAATATTGCAGGTCTCCATATCATTTTTATCTTCACATCATTTTCTACTGTTGACCAATCAGCTCCTGTACTTAACTAATGAATATGCATTACTTTTCCTAATCGAAGCAGTGAAATGAATGCAGTATCCTAATGAATATTCAATATATCCTTGGATGACCAATCAGTGACATTCACTAATTTAAATATTTAGTATGTTTTACATTCCACTGCATATGACTCATAAATTAATAATAAAATTATATTAATTTACATAATTTTGTTCAGTATATTCTTGGAAATTGTAATTAGTCGAAAATTAATTCATAAATTTGGCAAGACATTCTATTTTTAACCATGAATCATAACTTATCAACTAGTAACAAAGGGTACTATATCTCAATTGTGTGTATATTTTTTAATTTAATGGACTTTCACATTTTGATTAGTTTCTGAGTGGTTACTTTGTGCATTATTTACCCACACAGATATCGGATTTTAATAAGGGTTCTCAAGAGTTTTCTTTTTCATTTCTAGAAATAAACTTATAGAAAATATAAAAAAATCATATTACATTTTCCCTTAAACATTTAAAGTCAGTCAAGATGACATTATTCTTTGCACTAATTCATTGATAATGCACAGCCAGTTAACATCTAATCATTCAACAAAATCTACAATTTTCTATTGGCACAGTAAATGGTATGTAAATTGGTATGTAAATTTAATTTCCTTTAATATAATTATAATATTAAATAATGTTTAACATTATATGAATTTTGATGGACTTTTTATCATAATATAGTTTTATAGTATTGTATAATATTAAAGTATAATATATTATAATAAGTATTTGATATTTAATTCTATGAATAAATATTCTTACACATTGAACACAATGCTGTGTCATTGCTACATAAATATGTAGCACTACATTATGATGGACATGCAATTACCGAAAGTTTCTATTTCAGTCCGACGATGTGACATGAGTTTACAGCAATCTGTTGTCGGTTTTCTGTCATTGGTCAGTTCTTCCTCTATTGTCTGACAAGTGGGTCCTCTTGCATGTCAGAATGTACAGCGCCCCCTATTGAAAACTAATACTGTTTCTGTTCCCCCAAGATGTCTCATGATTCCATTTCATATTTTATTATGGGTAGCTGTCCACCTGTAGAATGCTAAGGCCAAAGTAGCCCTCAGAGTTGTTAAAATTGAGGCTGGTATACAGCATAGGAAACCAACATCTTCCTGTCGAAACATACTATGCATTTTACTAAGGGTTGAGGCTGAAATAGGTCAAAACATGTTTTTCCTAAAGCTGGTTGGGAAAAAGAAAAACAAGTGCTGTTACTAATTACTTTGTTCCTTTTGTGACTTTTATTTTTAATTTTAATATTATAAAAATGAAACATGCATATTCTGATGTTGAATCATATTTTTCAAACAATTTTCAAATTTTGTTTAATAATATCTGAAAAAAACTTATTAAATGAGATGATAGAGTATTTATCTTAATCAACATAATCATAAAAATAAAATGAATATGGTGCTAATTGATAATGATACAATTTATGACAATGATCTATGATAATTGATAATGGCTTATGATATAATAATTATAATAATGAACTTTAATAATATATCTTCCTTTACTTAACATTGCTGATAATTTATGATAATTATACAGTTGTTTAATTAATAATGTTTTATTACCAATAAAATCAGGGTTTTTTGTAAACTAACTTTTTAAACAAGACAATATTTTATGAAAATTTAATATTTATTTTTTTAGGATTGGAGTAAGCATTGGTTTGTTTTGTGTGACAACAAGCTAACTTACTACAAAGACCAACAGGCTGAAGAGGTAGGTTGAAAGAAATTAAAAATTTAATGACATTTTAAGCTAATATCTAAGCTGTCGTTCATGAGTATGGTAGATGTCGTGAAATGATATTTAAGTTAAGTCTGTAAAACCATTTCGTATACAGTTTTAATAATAATAATAATAATAATGGTCGACTTATAGAGTGCATATTATAGAGACCTTTATGCGCTTAACATAAATAAGAATACAAATAAAATGATACTTAACTAATCCTACTTCTTAAACTAAGCATGGTTTGGCCGTTGGCTCCAAGGAGTTCATCCGCCCTTTGTTCAGCTATTTTTCTTATTGCTGCTGGCTGACCATTCACCCTTCCATCCAAAAGCCGCTAAGGTTGTAGATGGGGCTGCCAGTTAGTCGCCGGCAATTCGAGAGGATGCATTTTGACGTCATACCCAGGACATCTTAACTACAATTAACACTAATCTTAACTACCAAAATGTAACTTAAACTTTCCATTGCTAGTTTTCATGAAATAATATCCAATATGAACACTTGGTACATTGTTAGGAACATTTTTTTCTCTCTTTTGTGGTGAAGCCACAACCTTTATTTTTCAATCAACATGATTCAAAACATTGTATACCATAATAACACTTTTATTGAATTTATGACATACCGAAATACATATTAAAATAGTTTGGTCTATTACTTTTATGTTTTCTGTAGACAATTGTTTAACAAATGTTGGGACCATTTAACAAACAAAAATAATGCCCTAAAACCTTAATTCTCACATTAACCAGATGATCAAAAATCAAAAGCTTTTAAATGCAGTTAAAGGTATTCAGGTGAACTGATTTATTCTATGAGTCACCTATGTAATCTATTTTGATAGTTGTGATAAGGCAGCTGTATAAGTGCGTTCGTATAAACCACAAGATTGCGCTTTGAATCAAAATGCGTTTGGAATATGATAAGAAATAAAATACTATTGTGATGTATTGAGTTGGATCTTATGTTTGACCAGACTTCTTTAAACAATGATCATACTTTTTGAAACAATCTATGTATAATCAAATTGAACTGTGGTGAGAAACAATACAAAGGTATACACACTTTTTATTAATGGTGCTCAGAAAATAATTTTGAAAGTGTCCCTTTACTTTGTGACTGGATTTGCTGTACAGTATGAAACATTTTTTGTGAATTTGATAAATTAGTTGTTTAGTTGACTCAGAAAAGAGCAGTTTGATCTCTCTTTATTATCTTGCTGAATTTGGTACGAATCACAAGACAACCACAAGATAGCTAACTGCCTTTAATTAGCTTTGGCAATTAAACTTCAGACTAATATATACCAAATATAGGGCTAAAAAAAATTTTAGGTTTTTATTTATATTTCATTTACTGATGCAAGTAATATTTAGAACATAATGGTGATTGGGTCATTGACAAACTTGTGTTTTTTTGTGATATAAAAAAAATGGATGTTTAGATTATCAAAGATTTGTGGGATTACTGAAAAGATTAATTGCGATCAGTTGCGATTACTAGAGATTTGTTGTTTTACTAAGAAGATTAGTTTTCGTCAGTTGGCTACAGTCAGCACGGGATATCTAATTTTGAGTACTCTCATTCTGATGAAAGAAAGAACTAATAATAGTGATGTATAATTCTTAATTGCCCGAGGTACTGGCTTAAATATGTATCTTGGCATTGGCGGAAACCTTTGTCAAATTAAATCTTGTATCGTCAAGTCAATCTGTCCCACGCGAGCCTCGCGTACATTCAGATCATACACGTCTTTTCTACGCAAACTGCCTGGTACAGTTGTGCACCCAATTTCGTTTACTCGTTCTCTTTTCCAATGTCATTCTCAACTTTGTCGCCCTATTTGTTTTCTTGTTGCAACATCTCTTTTTAATCAGCTTAGCGATCCATTTGAGGGAACATAGGATATTAGGAATCAATCCTTAAAACCGCATTAGCACTCAATGTCGACAGGTTGGGTTATACTTGTCACAATCGTCCAATTCCCCTGTCGAAGGTGCGAGCTCGATTTGGTCGCAAATCTATTTTCACTTCGCCTCATCCTCCGTAAATTTAGAACCTCATCTAAGTTTAACTTTCATTTTGACAATGCAAGCCTGTTAAAAGAAACAAGAACAACGAAAATACACGGACTCTTTGACTCATCGTTATCCTAGCCTGACTCCAGTAGAGGTGCTATAAGCTTTAAACTACCACAAAAATGAGATGTTGAGAGTGATTCCACCCAGACCTCACTGTTAACACATAGGATATCATAGTCTGTACCTTACAGTGGACCTGGTCTTGTTTGTGGTCAGTGAATCATACTTTGTTGGGGTTTGCCGTCGTCAAGCCTAGGTAGGTTGTTGATTTTAAGTAGGTTAGAGCTGAGGTATGTTATTCACTTCTTATGTTGCTGCCTATACGTTTGCTAGCTTCCGATCTAACTGTATTATTTCAATTACTGTACATGCATATTTGAACCATGGTGGAATTAGTTTAGAGTTAAACAGCGTTGACAGATTTTTAATCTATTGGTTGATTGTTTTTGATGATTTAGTTTGATTTTACTGTATTAGGATAGCTTAATAGTGGTCAAGTCGGTTCTAACCGTGTACAGTATATCGATTAAATTTTATCTACCATTTTGAGGTATTATTATGCATTCTTCATCAGATGAGTAAATAAGGATAAACAAATACCAATAGGAATGTAATTAGTCAAACTGCAGCTTGGTGGTTAAGATGATGTTAGAATGAACTTTCAAAACAAGACAAAAATTGACATTAGTTTCATTCCAAAATTCTATTGATTTTATAAGTTTTACATTGAATTTTCTTTTGACATTTTTATGTGTTGTTTCCTTTCTATTTTCATGGTTTGTTTGTAACTGTACCCTTTGGAAAACCAGTACGCAAGTACTCAAAGTGCCTGCAGTCTAAAGAAAGAATAATAAATAAATCAATCAATACCAATCCCACGGTTCTGGGATAAATTCCTGTCGGTAACAGGATTTTTTCCTACCACCAAAACATCTCTAGTCCCAAACTCTGATATTTGTGCTTTTAGAGTGCAAATTTTCTTCTTTTGGCAAATCTCTTGATCCATGTGCAAATTGACCCAGTCTATTGACCCTTCGACTATCTCCCCTCCCCTTATAAAGCAAGCTCTCAAAATGTAGGCCAAAATTAACTCACCTTTTCAGTCTATCCGTACAGTACCTTGTAAAACTATTTATTGTAACTTATAGTATAATGTTTGTCAATACATAATGGCCATTAATGGCACATTGAAGCATTGAATTGAATAAAATAATGATACAGTATGTTTAAATGTTTTTCAAAGCTGATGTAAATTTTTCCTAAAGTTATACCAGATGAATTTCTTCCAAGATAGAAAAAAAAAAATGTTCTCCAAATATAATTAATTTGTTAATGTACTTCATGATAACTTTAATGTTTTGCAATTATAGTATGTATTTAGATTTCTTTATTAGTTCACATTGGCAGTATAGGATACACTAAAGTGCCACCTTAATATTACATTTAAAAATTTGGGGGGAAAAAGAAAAAAAGTAAAATATGAAAGACAATAAATATGAGAGACAATATAATATGAAAAATATTCAGTATAGAGGCAATATTTATGTAAAAGATGTATAATAATAATAATAACTTTATTTAATATAGTGCAAACAATATTCAATTAAAATGATCACAGGCGCTGTACAGAATTTAAAAAAATATAAATTTACAAAAAATCAATACTCAATATGTAATATACATTAAAAGTTGAAAGTAAGTATATAAAGTATATTTACTACAGGCCCGTAGCGTGTGGGTGGGGGTTAAGGGAGTTACGACGAACCGGCCAAAAAACTGGAGAAGGTCTGCATTTAAAAACGAAAAATTGATATTCGTAGATATATTTAAAATGTTGCTCCAGAGTATTGGAGATCATACAAGTCAAAGGGGCCACCCACAAATTAGGTCACGTTATGGGCCTGTACTACAGGTAGACAGTGTTAATTGCTTTTGTAAACTTGGATCCATCAGTTTAGCATTTACTGCTTCTTAGTCTTCACCATAATATCTGAGTACTTGGTATCATACACCCTTTTGATAGATTTTGGAATGTTCAGTTCTGTGCACCAATAAGTCAGTCTGATTTGTTGTAAATGAGTTATGTTCACATTTTTATGCTCAGCTCATGTACTTTGCCACTTTCTTTTTTATCAACACTCTAGGATTCTTTTTAAGTATATTATAAAACTTTTTTCTTGTATGTTGTGAGTACGACAGATACCACGATCTGTATATTTAAGTCTTACTGTTTACATAAAACTATATATTTTGGCTATGGGTGATCACTTATATATAGTCTATTCTAAAGACAACCAAAAAAATCTAAGCATTTTAATTTCAAATTTGTGAAAGAGAAGATTAAAAAATGTCTTAATTATATTTATTCATATTGTTTTTATCAGGAATCTAGTTTGAGCGGTGTTATTGAGCTTGCAAACTGCATTGAGGCCTGCTCAACGACTGTGAGTCGCAATTATGGTTTTGAAATACAAGTGAGTAGAAATTTTACAAATCATTAAAGCAATGTTGATATTCCAACTAAATTGATTAAAAAAATGTTGCCTCCAAATTCTAGATTTTAGAAGTATTTTTTATTTTCTTCTTTTTTTTACCTGCAGACTGAGAACTATAGTATCATATTAGCAGCTATGACTAGTGGAATTAAAAACAACTGGGTGCAAGCAATTAATAAGGCAATTGCAACTGCGAGAAGTGAGGCCGAAACATCAAGTAGTCCAATTCAAAGTAAAGTAACGATGGATGAAGTTGCAACACCGAACCAGATTGATGCGGTAGACAACGCAAACGTGAAGAAACCGGTTGCTCCGATGTTGGAGATACGGGATGCGAATCAGCAACCATCAAGGAAATTTGTTCCTGATATAGATTTTATGCTCGGTACAAGACCTTTGCAGAATCTAGACGATGATGATGCAGATACACTTGATGATGTGAGCCAAATAGAATCAGATATCGAAAAAATGGTTCCAGAAACAAGCACACCTATTACCGTCACTACCACGGAAGCAACGCCACCGGAAGAACCAAATATCCAAGAAGTATCCAAGTCTGTTTCAGACTTACCGAAAAAGTCTCGAGGTGAACGTAAGCATAAGCGACCTCGTGTAAGACCAAAGACAGAAGACCAAATGAAGAGAGATATTGAAAAGAGTATGAAAATTGTCAAAGAGGGTGGAATTTTGAGATCAAAAAGCAGCAGTAGCATTGATGCTGGACAGAGGCCAAAGGAAAGCAAGAGGGTTCAGATCAAAAAGGCTGTTGAATACACTGCATCAGACACAACGCCGCAAGAGGATTACATAACTTTCAAGACTCAACCAGAAGAACTGTTAACATCCAAAGATTGTAAAACCACTCATGTTTCCCCAGATAACAGTGCAGTTTATGAACTTCTTGAAACAGAGGTAAGATATTTTAAAATTACTTCACTTTAATCTCTTCTTTATGCACTTCTCTTTAATTCTGTTTATACTACAAACGAATGTAAAAATCAAGGGTAATGTAGCTTTATAATATGTAAGAGCTGCAGAAATGCCAGCAGCATTTGAAAAATCTAGCACTAACGTGGTTGTAAATTTTTTAATTAAAAGAAAAATGCAGGCATCCGAAACAGTTCATGCTATTATTGAAAATAATGTAAACTTAATATAAATTTTTTAAAAACTCAACTAACCTTCATAAGTATTGCAAAGATTACCAAAACTACACAGAAATACCAGCTGCATTTGATAATCCTAGCATTACCTGGTTTTAAGATAATTTTTTTTTTATTTAAAGAAAAATTCAGGCATTCAAAACAGTTTATGCTATTAGTGAGAATAATGTAAACTTAAAATATAAAATTGTAAAAACTCTCATCTAACTTTAAAGTATTGTCGAAGATTATCAAAACTTAACTTTCTGTAAACAGTTAAATAAATTATATTGTACTACAAAGAAGGTGCTTCAAGATGTTCACAATGTTTCATATAGCTGTTTGAATGTCTTTATTTATTTAATTAAATTAATTTTAATTAATTTAATTAAATTAATTTTAATTAATTAATTAATTTTAATTAATTTTAAATTAATTTTAAATTAATTTTAAATTAATTTTTAATTAAATTTTAATTAATTTAATTTAATTAATTTTAATTAATTTGACCAGATCCTACTTCTAAAATTGACTTGTTTGTTGTCTATTTTTCCACATGCTGCACAGATTAGCATAGCATTTTGCTAGCCACTCACCACATATAATTCACAGTAAAGATAATACCATTAATAAACCACAGTCTTTCATGGACATATTAAGATCAACAAAGCTCAAATAAATGTGATTTACTTCATGTATTTCTTGCATTCGTAATCGGTCAAGTGTAAATGTTACTTGTTAAATCCTGAATGTATGTATAACTTAATGCAATTTGTAAGATTTCCACAAAGTAAATGAATTCTGACATTTATAAAAGCATTTTTGTGTAGAGATGAAAACACTGACACAGATATCTTACAAGATTTTGACAAAATACACTTGAGCTTAGACTTAGATTTTTTTTTTTTTCATCTGAATGTTTCTTATTCTGTATTTAATATTTTGGACCACGATGAAACTAAATTTGCCAGTTGGTACTTTATTGTGCTGATTATCCTCGCATACTACTATTTTTGTATTAAGAATAAAGAAATAAAATAAATAAAATTCTTTTAAAAAATATTTTCCACAATGAAGTGTTTGTTAATCAATTAATTTTGTTATTTTACATATATTAGGTTGAATCCTTAAAAGAGCAGCTAACGTCGACAAGAGTTAAACTGGAGAGCTCAAACCAGCACAATATCGAGCTGAATGCTAAAATAGACCGTTTGAAGCGAGAACACCAAAATGAAATGTCAGAGGTCATGACTGGACAATCTGCATATGAGGCTCAGGTAAGCAAGTGCAGACGTAGCTCCTGGTGGTATATCTAGTGATATTGAAACAAGAATATTATTGAGAATATAATTTGGGTTAATTTCTACTGGAAATTATTTTAAAGAAGGTTTCTGATGTGAGCCTTGTGGCAGTTTCCTGATGCTATCACACTTGAGTTTCATTTATTTATTTTTTTGTTATATTATTTGGTAATGATAATATGAATTATTTGTTTGTTTTAGGACTATATTGGTACTGGATATTATAACTACAGTAATTAGTATAGCTAATTGTTTGTATTCTATCTTTCAGCTGGAGAAATTAAGGCAGAAAAAGAACATTTTGGAAGAAGAAAAACAGCGTATGATTGAAGATTTAAAACAGAAAGAAGTTGACAAAATCAATCTACAAGAATCAAATGAAGCAAACAGATTGTATACTCAAGAGTTCGAGACTTTACAAAACCGATGTTCTCTACTTGCTTCTGAGCTTGAAAAATGTAAAGAAGAACTAAACAAAAAGAGTATGACTATGAAGTTAGAACGCGAGAAAGTAACAGATATGATTGAAAAACTTAATGATAGAATCGATGGATTGGAAGAGGAAGTAGGAGATAAGAAAGTTCTCTTACAGGAAGCAGAATCACAGGCAACAATCAAAGCTAAACAAGTCAGAGAACTAGAAACACTCTTAAGACAAAGTAAATCTGGAAAACTGATTGAAGATCTTATGGCAGAATTAACTGACACTCGCAGCAGACTAGAAGAAAGTGAAACAGTTGTAATTCAAAATGATGAACGTTTTGAGAAACGGTACTTAAGATTGAAGGAAAAAATGCGAGCAGAAAACGATGCCTTGAAAAATCAACTTCAGCTGGCAGAGGAAAAATTGAAAATGTCATCAGATGATGATGATATGATTCATCTGGTAACCCATAAGGAGGTTGTAGCTTGTTTGAAAAATGAACTTGAATTAACTGATTCTGCAAAATTAAGTTTGCAACAGAAATGCGCAGATCTCCAAAATGAACTTGCTCAGATTGTTTTAAAAGGTCAGGGTGAACTTGCATCTGTACAGAGTAGTGACTCTGCCATGCGATTGGAAGAGGATTTAGAAGAAACTAGAGGGCAGTTAAAATTTCTGAAAGAAGCTCTTGAAAATGAAAAGACCAGTGGTGCTAATCTATCTGTGGAATTAGAAAACGAAAGAAAAGGCAAGGCAGAACTTTTGAAAGAGTTCGAAGAATTGAGTGAAAAACTAAAGCAACAAGAGACGAAAGTACAAACCATAATGAGACAGAGTGAAGTAAGCCATGAGGATCAAAATAAGAAAACTGAAGCAATACTGCAAAAAGAGGAAAGTGAATTGTTTAATAGCCAACAACTTGTCAATGAAAGTGAATTTGAAAACATGCGAGCACAATTGGACCAAAGTAAAGAAGAAATACAAAAAATGATGGAACTTATTGTTGAAAATGGAAAAGAAAAAGAGATATTTGTTGAGAAATTGAATTTGAAAGACAAAGAATTACAGCAATTGCAGAAAGTGTGTGAGAAGATTCAGGCAGAACTTGACCATGAGGAAAAGAATAATGGTGCATTTGAAACAAAGGTTGCATCATTGAAAACTGAAATTGACAGTCATGAGCAAAAACATGAGGCACAATCAGTAAAATTTCATGAAGAGTTACAACAAAAAGATATTGAAATACTGCAAGCAAATATTGAGTGTGAGGATATGCAAAAGAAGTGGAATGTTATGAAAGAAGCAGCCGATTTAAACATCAAGAAGGTGAAAGAGCTTGAAATGCAGGCTATGCAACAGATGGAAAACATGCAAGTGTTGCAGGAACGAGCTAAAGTGAGAGCAGAACGAGGTGATAGAGATAACAAAAAGTTGAGAGCAGAGCTTAAAGAGGCACAAGATAGTTTTGATGAACTTGAATTGAAACACATTCAGACTAAAGAGGATTTCAAAAAATTAGAAAAGAGTCAAGCAGAGCAGATTCTTCTGATGGGTTCCCGCATTAAAGATTTGACAACCAAATTAGCTGCAGCTGAACGCAAGGTGAGAGATGCTAATCGTAAAATAGCATTAGAGCAAAAATCTAAATTATCAAAAAGTAGACCAGGTAGTCGTGAACTTGAAATTAGACTTAAGGATTTGGAGACACAGCTGGAGGATGTAGAAATGGAGTTGGAGGTGCAGGAAAAAGATTCAGCTTCATTGGAGGGTAAAATTAAAAGGGTTTCAGATTCATTGAAGAACAAGCAAGGAGAAAGTGAGCTAGTTTCATCATCTTCTTTAGATGAAGAGACATCTGAAGAGCCAGAGAGTTCTGTTCAGGATTTCAATGGCAGTGTGAGCAGTCCACCATATAACTCTGGCTTTGTTGGCTTCAAACTTAATGAATCAGAAGAGAAACTAAAAGAGGTGACAAGAAAGCTTGTGGATCTTACAGCAAGAGAGTTAGATAATCGTAAGTCTTACCAGGCCAAGTGTGCTTCAGAGCGAGTCCTGAAGCAAGAAATTGTCGATTTAAAAAGCAGACTTGAGTCCATGTGTAACGAAATTGATCAGGTACAGGAAAACAGTGTAACACTAATAAATGATGTAGAAAGTCTGTTGAAAGATATTCATATCCATGTGTCTGTGACTTACTCCAAAGTCCTTCAACTTGATGCTAACCAACTGGTTGCATGTGGTGCAGATCCAGAAATTCTGAATCCTCCATTTGACAGCACTAACATCAAAGTAGATTATATAGCTATTGTCACAACCATGCTAACAGGTGTCCTTGGTGCTTTAGACAGTTCACGTAACACTGTTAACAAATTGCAAAAACAACTACATGAAAAATCCCTACGCACAAGTTCCTTAGCACATTTAATGATCCCCAATGGCTTGCCATTAGATTATACTTCAGATAGCTCTTTTAGCAGCTGCATGAGTGCTCCAGTCCAAGACCAACCAGTAGAAGAGCAAGTGTCCGAACACAATTGTGAAGATGTGCCACTAAATTTACAAACTCTTAATACTTTTGCGCATCAAATTTCTTCTGAAGTAATGGCTGAATGTGGGAAGGAATTTTCTGATCATGAAGCAAATTGGCATGAATATGTACAAATGCAGTTGTGTCTAAAAGAGGTTAATAATGTCAATAAACATCTATTGCAATTAAAAGCCTGGCTAGAACAGGAATTAGTAGGTAATCGCTACACTAATAAACCATCTTCTAGTATTTCCAGTGATATCAATGATCTGTTGTCCAGTAGAGCAAGCATTGAAGCTGAAGCAGCCCTTGTTAGAACTCCTGCACAAACCAAGGTAAACTCCTTCCATGGAGCTAAGCATAGGCAAACTAAAAGATTAGGTCATAGACAAAAAGGTATGAAATTTTACCAGAGGAAAGACAGTTCAAGCATGGTTGGAAAGTCAAATGCTAAGATCCACTCATTTGCTAATTCTGTAGCTCACCATGCTGTTAGGGATGCAGAGATGACATACTATATGTCCACTAACCACAAAAGTAGAACTGTTCAAATTGACTGCAAAAATGATGAGATCAGAAAGAAACTATATAATGCACACCAGGAGTTTACTGCCTTAAACACTGACCTACAAGAAATGGTTGCTAGTTACAAGACCTCTAGATTGAAATTGCTTGGAAAACTTATGGCTGAAGAGGTTTACCTTCGACAGAATGGAAACACAAATGGGAAGAACCGTGGGGAAGATGACTTGGGTCTTGATAGTAATAGGATTGTTGACAGACACTTTGAAGTGTTAAGCACTGGGGGTATGAGCACGTCCCTACAGGATGTATCTCCGGTAGTTAGTTCAATTTTAGAATGTATTTGTTTACAAGATGCAAGACACCAAGCCATGAATCATCTCTATCAGGGTATGGTTCTTGCTGAAGTTCAGCAGGTTCTACAAACAATAAAATCCAAATATCAAGCTGAAATTGAGACTGAGAGCGGCAGCTGTCAAAAGTTGTTGAAAAAGCAATTGAACTCGGCTCAAAAACGCTACCATGACATTGAAGCACATGTTAACAAAGAAATGGCACTGGCTTCAGAGGAACTGAAGCAGCAATTTTATCTAGCTTTGGCAGAGATAGATTCTAGTTATAGGAATGCTGGTTATGTCGGTCTTTCTGATGAAACTTACATTGGAATCCAGCATATATTGGAGGTGTTAGTTTACCAGGCTGTAATTAAGGGTGTAGCTTACTACCTAAATAGCCATATTACCACCATGGTTCCACCATTAATTGAGAAGGAAGAACGAAAGTGTGATGAAAATGGAATTGACGAAAAATGGTTGGAAAATAGTGAGGCAGCTGTCCAAGTTTCCAGCATTCAAGAGTTTGCTGAGCAGTTAGCAGAGCGTGCAATTATCCAAGCAGAGTCAATTTACATTGCCAGGCAAGTTGAAGCTGATCATGAGAAGATGCAGATTGAACGTCTGGCAGGGGTCATGGAGAGCATTGCTGCTGAGCATGCTCAGAACATCACAAGTGTTCGTTTGCGATATGAAAAGATGTCAAAGGATCAAAGAGACTTGCACATTAAAGAGATGTCAGAGCTGCAGAGTAACTACACTATGGCCAGAAATGAGATTGCCGATTTGTCCAAGCAACTGGAAAGTCTGAACAAACAGCTTGAGATGGAAGAATGTGATACCGCAGACAAACGACATAGTCTTCAACTGGAGCTGGAGAACCTAAAGCAAGAGTTAATTTCCAAACAGCAAATGCTTCAGAAAAAAGTTCAAGAGCAGTGTCGACAACAAGAACTAGTTGACTACTTAAAGACATGCTTCCATGAACAGATGGTCCGACTTGAGAAATGCATTTCTCGGGAGAAGCATCGAGTGAGGTTGAAAAATTGGCAGCAGGAATCTGAGAAGCTTGCAAGGAACGTAAACCTAAAAGAGAGCACAGATAGCTTAAGTGTGGACTTGGAGACCTCAAATAATGAGGTAAGGAGTCTCGATGTTCCTGCACAAGAAACGCTGCATGGTTTGCTCATCTGCCTGTCTGTAATCTTGTGTTGCCTGGCATGTCAATTTGATGTCATTCTTTCAACTTGCTGTTATAATTTTTTTAAGTTTAATCTTGATCCTTAATTTGTTTTTATATCAAATTTGTTTTTGCACTCATTAATTAAAACATAAACTAATATCACACCAGTATTCTGTGTAACAGTGATTATTGTTTTAATTCACATGTGGATATAATTTTGTTTTTTTATGTCATTAAAATGAAATTGAGTATTGCAAACACTTGATCAAAATATTTCATCTAAATTGATTAGATTTAGCAGTGAGGTCATTTTGTTTTTGTTGTGGTAGTAAAAAAAAATACACATATTTTCCTAACAGGATTTCTCTATTTTCTATCACAGGTAGAATCTCAAGATTGTATTTTTGGGGTTTTTTTTATACACATGATATAATATTTAAAATGTTAGGTTTTATTATTTATCTTATTTATACTTCCACCTACCATACCATAGGTAATATTTACAAAATATTGTTTACATCTATTTATTTAATCATACATTAGGTTAATTTATGCATCACATTTTTTATGTTACTATCATTTATGTTGTTTTATAAAAGTGTGTTGATCTTGTAAAGTACTGTGATTGTGACCAATATGGATTTTATCAGCAATGAAAAATTAGGGCAAACAAGCAAAAATCTCTCTAAAAAAAACTATCCTACTTTCCACATATTCATCACATGTTTTTACTGCTGTATTACCAATTGTCTCCTCGAAATCATCTGGTGATAAGTATCACATTCTGCAGCAAAATAATATAGTGAGATGTGTTGAAAAAACTCATTTAACCAGATATTCCAGAAGTGGCTTCTTCCAACTTTAAACTCCTGAAGTTGAGAAAGTTAATGAGTAGGTGTTCTATTTGCTGATACAATCTGTTACAGATTGCTGCATGTTATGTATTGAACAAGTAGCATGTTGTAAAAAAAAAAACAGTGGTCATTTTTTAGGTATACAAATCACTAGCCAGTGAATTTAATGTAAAGTCATTCGAACACCACATTAATATGCAAGTAATATTTTGTCTCAAATTTAAAATGAGTACTGTATTTTAATATTTTCTTTTAACAGTGCATGAAATGTATCGTGAAGAATAATGTGATTAATAATGTGTTGTTCTTTCCTTTTGTATTTACATGTTCATGATATACAATATATATATTTGTATGTGGGTTTATGCATTATTTAATGGATACTTAAAACAACTAATTACTTTATTTAATTTATGGTAAGTATATGTACTTAACAATTTGTATTTTTAATAATAATAGCTCATTTGGTTCATATGGTAATGTTGCATTAAAATTTCAATTTGTGTAGTTATAAATTTATGGGTAGATTAGGAAAAATCTAAAAAAAAAAAAAAAGAAATATTATGACATCTTTAATATGAATATATCATTAAGAACTTGATTTAAATATGTCAATGTAATAATTATCTAAAACTAATTTGATTGTTTTAAAGGAATATTGGATGTATGCATAAACAAAAGCTTGCAGATGTAGTGGAAATTATAGAATACAGCTACAAAATAGATTTTCTTTGATTTAAAGATACTAGAAAGAAAAATATTTAAATGCATTGTTTCATATTCAATTTTATAATAATTTGTCTTGTGGTAATTATTAGTTTGAGGAAGAGCTCGTTGCCCAGGAAAAAATTCATCGTGTTTTGCTGGAGGAGCAGACATCACAATATAGGAAAGAACTTGAAGAGCTGAAAGATATACGAGAAAAAGAACTGGAAGAGGAGGCCGCTGCAACTGCAAAAGGTTTCTTTTAAAACTATTATTATTTATTATTGCTATTGTTATTATAAATATTACATTACTAATATTACAGTATTATTATTGCTATTGCTATTATTATTATTAATATTATAATATTAATATTACAGTCTTATTGTTATTTTTATTATTATTATTATTATTATTATTATTATTATTATTATTATGTTACTAAAACCTACCTTAAGGGGAACTTAGACAATCGAGAAATTAGAGCAATAAAAAAAACGACGTTAAGGGGAAAATAACACAAGATATTCCCCTGAAGTCCGAGTTAGCGCTAGTTATTATTATTTTTATTATTATTATTATTATTATTATTATTATTATTATTATTATTATTATTATTATTATTATTATTATTATTATTATCGTTATCATCATTATTATTATCATTGTTATCATTCTTATTATTGCTATTATTATTTTTTATTTATTTTTTTATTATTATTTATTATATTATTATGATAGTATTTTGACGGTTGATTGCATTTTCGAAGTACAGTTTACCTGTTGATCTGCTGTCATGTGACTGTCTTACCTAGAGTGATCACATGACAAGTAAAGATTACAAAGATGTCCTGATAACAGAAAGCTATGACTATATTTAAAGTTATCAACTTTTTTTGAGACTCAACAAAAAGATACAAATCTAAACACATCAGTTTTCACTGACTCTACAGATATTCTCCTACAAAAATATGCATCTGTTAATTGACTACTAAAATATTTTAACATTTTCAATAAAACAAATTGTTTGTTTGTGTATTTTTAGCAATATCAGCTTTGAAACGAGTCCATCTGGAGGAGTTGCAGAGGGAGCGATTAAGTGTCGGTGAGATGATGTCTGATGACGTGGAAAGCGTTATGAAAAGGCACAGGTAAATATGATTAATGACCATGAGTATTTATTCAAGTAACATGAAGTTCTTTTCTATCTTTCCTCTCAAATTTAATTTCACATCATTGAAACCGTTTGTGTGTGTGTGTTTGGGGGTTCGGAAGAACTTCCTTTTTGAACAGTTTACTACTGTAGTGGTATTTTATCATAACCTTTTCTATTAAAGAAACACTTCTGAGTTAAACTTGTATAGGAAACTTCCCATCCCCCTTCACATGAACCTTCCCCCTCCTGAGAATTATAACTTCCTTCTTCCCATTCTCCAATCATTCCTCCTTTAACTCATTACATTCTAAGCAGCTAATTTAAGAACTGTTATAGTTTCCCTTATAATCATTCTTCCTTTAACTCATTACACTCTAAGCAGCTAATTTAAGAACTGTTATAGTTTCCCTAACAATCATTCCTCTTTAACTTATTACATTCTAAGCAGCTAATGTAAGAACTGTGCATCGTTTTGCACTCTAATTATACTAATCATGATGTCATTATTACAATTTAAAACAAAACTTAAGTACATTTTTATAAACTAACTTTTAACAATTTTGCTGAATCAGATATCGTTCATCGTGTACTATTGTACTTCAGACAGGTTAGTCAAATGGTTAATATAATGAAATTTTTACTATTGTTTAATATTTGTGTATATCATGTTTACCAATAGTTGTACAGTATAAAATAAACAATTTGAAGTATTTTTAATATGTTTTCATTGGTGTTTTTTTTTTTTTTTTTTTTTTACATTTTTATGTAACTATTTGTTTTTAAATTATTTAAGGTCATCATTTCATTTTTTTCATTTATGAACTGATTGTTAGTTTTGAAGTGTTTAGTGGTTCATCGTTAGTTGGTATTTGAGATGATTTGTGATCTATAATTATTGTCTATGTGCTTCACTGAACTATACTATAGTATGTTGCTGCATACAAGAACATAATTCCTTGGTATACTGTGAGCACATGCTTTGTCATTATATAAAGCTCCTCAGAAGTATAGGAATAACTCAAAGGGATTATTCTGATATATACAGTACTGTGAAATGTAAGCTACATTTAATTAGCTGAGATAAACTTGAAGCTTCCTCCACTTGCATTTTTTGGTCTTTATATCAACAAAATGTTATTATTATTTTGTTTCTTTAAGTAACATTTGAGAATTATATCAGTACTTAATATATTCCATACCATGCTGAAAACTATCACTATTGAAGATAGAATTAGATTTTTTTCGTAGTGATTTTTGCTTTTACATCCTGTCTTTTAATCTATTGATTGAATCGATTATTTTTTTGCAAATTACAAAGCACTGTACCGTCTCTAGTGAAATTCCAGCTTTTTAAAACATAAACACTCTGCCAAAGTTTAATGTTCTTTAAAACGATAACAACATACACTTTCTATTATGCATTTCCTTCTTAAACATTATAAAATTGGCTCACAAAAATGTGCCTCACTTCATTATAACTCTCTAGTGTACGTGTGAAATTTGTTTTACGTTCACAGTTTGCACATTTTAGGTAGTATTCACTTAACACATATGCTTGTTCGACAAAAGTAAACCATACAGTTTGCTATTTTGCGGTAATTCACTTTTAAATTTTTTGAGATATCTATCTGTGTAGACACTAAATAGAAGTTCATTCATTATCATTTTTCATTGCAAAAGCTATTTATTATTCCTATCTTTGTTTTTTCATCTTCTGATATGGAGAACTGTAGTCTGGTAATTAGAATCCTTGTATCCCAATTCCAGGGTCTAGTGTTCAAATCTTGTCAGAATCTGGGTTTGTACTCAAACTAAAACAATACTCCATAAGCTTCATTACGAAATGGTTGACGCAACGGCTGTGGCTCAGACTCTTGCAGTGGCGTATCTAGAAGTCTAGAAATGGGGGTGCTGATGGGGGGGGGCGCGAAGGTGAAGTGATCAGGGTCGATAATCAGTCCTAACTCGCAAAATAAGGTGATTTTAGGGGCACCCCCCCCCCCCAGATAAGGTGATTTTAGGGGCACCCCCCCCCCCCAGATGCGCCACTGGACTCTCGGCCTTGTGGTTGGGTGTTTGAAAGACTAGCTGTGCAAGTTGCTTGTGTCCTTGGGCAAAGCACCTACATTTGTCTCCACCTAGGGGTAGGAATTATTAGCAAGCGCTGATTCTAGCTGCGTATGGAATTGTGCTCCCCAGGGAACTGAGGATGTGTTCCATAGGTGTTTGGTCCTGTGATCACGGGTAATAATGTATAGTGCATAGGCAGTTTATTCTGACATTATTATATTATTATGATACTTGCATTTGTAAGAGAACATTCCCTTAGTGTTGAACAGGTTCCCTAGTATAAATAATAATGAATTGAAATAAAAAATAATCCTGGAAATATTATATTAATTAGCTGCACACCTAAGATTATATTTTTAGTTAATTGTTCAGTTTTTATGTATGGGGGAGTTAATTCAGTTATTCATTTTGATATAAATTGTTTTTTATTTTTCTTCCAGGGAAGTAGTTAATCGTATGGAGAAGGAATGGCACATCCTGTCGGAGAAGTATTCCTCTCAATGCCAGGAGAACCGGAGTCTGCAGAAGATGGTGGAGAACCTGAAGTATATGATGAAGGAACTGCAGAAAAAGAAAGATGAGATTGCAAAGCAGAACCTGGAGATGACAACAAAGTTGGAAAAAGATGTTGGCAAGTTAATGCAAGAAGTAGAAAAAGGAGATAAGGGTTTTGATGAAAATGATGTGATACAGAATCTACAAGTGAGTGGCAGTTATATTGGAATTAATCTTTTGTTTTATATTTTGAATCAATATTATCATTTCATCATTATCATCATTATCATCATTATAATCATCTATCATCCTTTCCATTGCCATCATCATCTTCATAATCAGCTTAATTAGTGTCTTCATATATTATAACATCTTCGTAGTCATCATCATCATCGTAATCATCATTTTACTTATTACCTTCATATCATTACCATTATTGTCATCACCATCGTGAGTCATTATTCCATCTGATTAAATAGAAAATATTTTTAAATATTTCTTTTATTAACATAGATTAAACTCAGGATTAAAGAAATTGAGTTGAAATGTAGCATGGATGAAATGCAGAAATTCAAATCAAACATTGATGCCACAAAGGAAGAAAACAAAGAATTGCAGCAACAGAACAAACATCTGGAAAGCGAGCGACACCACCTTGGTCAGCGTATTGATGTGCTAGAATTGCAAGTGAATTCACTGAAATCAGAGGGCGGAAGGATACGCACAAGTGGAGAAGGTGCTGCGGCCCCAGAGGGCTCTGTTGATTGTGAGGAAGTTTTTGAATCGCCTGTTAGCAGTCCGGGGCAGTTTGATTCCAAGTACAATGCTTGGTTCCCTCCAGAATGCGAAAGACGTAAGTAGCAACTTATTGTTATTGAGTCTGTAGTGGTAGTGGTAGAATTGGTTAAATTAGGGCCACGACGGGAACGCATCTACCATGACAGTAGCAACTGTTCAGTGTGTATGCTTTCTAGAATTTAGAAATACATTGAATCAATAGGTGACTTTATGGTTATAGCACTCGCCTTCTAATTCCAAATCGAGGGTTCAAATCCTGCACAAACTAGACTTCATAAGCCAAGAGTGGGCATAAAAATCGGTGAATTCTGAATTAACACCAAGGGCTGCACCAAAACTTTGATGTTTCCAGTGTGCTTCCAAAAACCTTCATACACTTCTTTTACACCAGTTTAAATACCACTGAGCTGGACATATAGGGTTTTTAATTCATTTTTGTGGGCCACAAAAATTCACTGTTGAGCTGCACTTTGCCCACCTGTACCCTAAGCCTTGTAATAAGGCTTTAAATAGCATTATAATTTTTTGTAATGAAACAAGCAAGTTAATATTAGAACATGTGACATGCCTAAATATGGTCATGATGACATCACATGATGACCATATATAGGCACATCATGACTATGGGCATACAACAGTTTTTGTCAAAGAAAAATTGATAATTTGGACAAAACTTTGTACATTTTATTTGCTGAAAATAAAACTAGCAATTTTTATTACCACGGGTAATACTCCACATAAATTGGGAAGTTTGCGTGTGTTTCCCGTTGAGGGCATCACAGATGTTACACATTACTGTGGAATTTAGCTGGCCAATCAACAATGTCTTCCTGTGTCATAAAACAAATCAAGCTATGATTTTTATTTTTATTTCTATTAAAAACATACTGACCATGGAAATAAAATAAAGTTATGATCATTGAACTTCCAGTGAGAGGATTGTAAAAATAGCTGATTTTGATTATTCAGGAGTCCTAAGTCTCCCGCAGCTCGCGGGGGTTTCCCGGAAATCTCTCCCGCAAGCAAGAATCTCCCGGAAAATAACCCATCTTCCGCAATGTTTCACACTTTATTATCAATTGTCTCATGGAAATGTAGTTAACATTTTAATTTAAATTGTTTATTTTTTTTTCTTTTCAGATCCATATGATTCTTCCAGTAGCACTCAGTCAGATAGTTCAAGATTCAGTTCTACAAAGGTAATTTTCTTCTATTTTTCTTAACTTGCATAATATCATGATAATTCAGTGTATAACTTTGAACAAGAATGTGTTAAGTTGATATGTGCTGTAATCCATATTCAGTTGCATCTGCAAAAATTGATGTACTATGATTTGGATAGCCTAAGCGTTAAGATTTTGAGCTTCCGGAAATAGTCCCTGCACAACCGGCTGCGCCTCTCTGACAGTAAAGGGATATTTAAAAAGGACCTATAGGTCCCTATAAGAGAATATGTGGGTGTTTCTTTGGTAACAATGTCACTTTCAATTTACAATGAACCGCTTCCTAGCACCCTAATATAATTACTTTCCAAGTTAAAATTTTCCTTTAAAATATTTTATTTTATTTTAGACAAGAAAATAATGTAGCCTAATACTCTACAACCTCATAAAAAACAAAAACCTCTAATAATAAATTTTTAAAAATAACACAGGAAAAAAATGTGACATTTTTATATAGTTGAAATTTATAAATTATTTTTCTTCTACGGAATCTTTTGTCTAAGTAAATTTATGTATAATCTACTTGTAACTCAACGCTGAGTTGTCGATTGACGTCCCTACACCATGATGCATATTTACCACTATGTGTTTCATTGTGTTTGTGTGGATATTGGCCCTTGAAAAGAAATTGAATTGGAAATACTAAAAATACCTTCTTTTCTCTCCACAGATTGAACATGTTTGAAGGACTGATTCCTTTCGTCACATTAGAATGCCTTGGGAAAAAAAAAGTAAACCTTTATGTTGATCAGTGTAGTTTGTATCAAAGCTTCCCTTGACTGTCTTCCAAAAAATTGAACAAAATTGAGAAAAGAGACATGGAGACAGTAAAGTAGTACCAGTACACACATATTCCTATAAAAATATTAAGCCCTGTCCAGAAAACATGTGACATGCCTAAATATGGTCATGATAACATCACATCATGTCCATATATAGGCACATCATGATTATGGTTATACAACAGTTTTTGTCTTAATATAGAAACATGTATTATTATTATTTCATTTATCATAATTTAGTAGACCAGAATTTTTTAAAATGCTTCTTGTCTGAGAAACAGGAAGATAATGCCCTTTGTTCTTCCTTCATTCCCCTTACATACCCAGTACTGTTCGAATATATATTTAATTATCCATCGAGCTCATTGCATGAAAGAACTTTGTGCAAAAAACGAGCAGCGATATTCCGCAAGTGGTTGTTTACACAACATAAACAGTTTTATTCATGAGCTGGTTGCTATAAAATACTGAACTTGCGGTCCGACATATTATGTAGATCGAGAACTAATGGATTATCAATTGCTTAAAAACTCGGATGCTGGGCCTAATTAATATGTGTTGGCCTAATCCAGCCGAACAAAGTTGAGAAAGAGTGTTCACTGCTTTATTATTAAGACGCCCGTTGAACTGCGTGCGTGGGGATACATTACAAGCACTAGCTCTCACTAATTAATTATTCATTAGCTCACAACATGAGAGAAACATGCAAACCGCTCGCCAGAAAATTGTGTGCGATTGGTGGAAGATATTCGAACAGTACTGTACATGTGTATGGTCACAAATTAGAGTGGCATATCTAAATATCTGCCAGAACTAGACTTCAATGGATGCCTGTTGATTATGAGGATGATGGCATTTCTACAGAAAATGATACTGCAAGAGACAAGAAACATTTTTTGTAATTTCACCTTATGTCAATTGACACACTATCATTTACCTTTGATTGATATTCCATCATTTTTGGACCAAACATAAATTCTTGGTTTAATATCTTTGGGTATTTATGTGGGTTTCACATATTGTTATTCATTTGTAGTTAATTGTTAGTAATATATCAGATTTAAATCTTTTGTGTAACTTAAACAGTGTATGTTGCTTTTTCATAATATGTTTTTTAGATACCTTGAAAACTTATGAGAACTTAATATTTCAAAGCTACATGTATTCTCATTATTTATATAAAAAAAGATTATGCTTGATAATTTTGTTTATGAACCTTCTACAGATATAATATAATATTTTTCAAAGTTAATTTTAGGTCATTCAAGTAATTAATTGCATTTATATTTGGTCAATTTTGGCTCAATAATTCTATTTTGTGAGGCATGGGCAGGCTGTAATCTAATTTTTCCAATTATTGTATTTATAGATCGCAAATAATACCTGCTTCCAAGCTTGGCTTCCCCAAGCAAGTTTAACTATGCATTAATAATCTTCTTAGACAAAGATATTAATCTCTCTTGCTAGAATTATAATATGACTGAAATATTAATATTGGTTAAGACAGATATCAATGCAAACACTAAGAATAGTTTTTTTCAGTCTCAAATATTTGGTAAAAAACTAAACATGAATTTAGATGCTGATAGTTTTACATTGTTGTGTGAATGGGTAGTTGAGCACTCAAACTTTTGACTAGTTATCATCCAGTGTCAAGTAATAACCAGTTTGATCCTGTTAAAACTGGCTCAATCCAGTTATTACTTGACCAGTTTGATCGACTTAGAATTGAATTGACAATCAAATGCTTTATATGTAATTGTATGATATAATTTTTTCGTAACTTGGGTAATACTATTCACATTTTGTGTGTATCTTTAATAGTATATTTCAGGTTGAGAATTTTTAAGGTGGTAAAATGTAAAGAAAATTTCAGGTTTTGACCAATGTGTGCTGGAATGTTAGAACATGTATAAGAAAATAAGCACTCGCCAATATAGAGACTCAATTGCTGTAGATTTACTTAAATATCTAGTTCCACGTAAAATAAGAAGAAAAAATTAATTTTCTTTTATTGATCATTTATGTATGTAATAGTAAAATTGAAGTACTGTACTTCATTTAATCTGCCATTGATCTGGCTAATGAGCTTTATTAACACATTTAATTTTATTTTGCTGCACATTGTGATAACAATTGGCACTGACTTCCGTGAGAAATTTGATAATAAAGCATTGAAAATGTGCAAAATTATGAATTCGCGGAGATGGGTTAATTTCCGGGAGACTCTTGCTTGCTTGCGAGAAACCGTACCGATTTCCGGGAGACTTGAGACCCCTGTTTCTTGCAACCCCTGTATAATTAGATATGTTAGTGAAACTAAATTAGCCTCATCTTCTTAAAGTGGATTCTCCAACTTTGGACACCGGCAATTGAAAATCAATGGATGCTCAAATAATAATAATAATATATTCTATACCATAGACCCATATCAATCAATTTAGGAATTTCTGTAGAAAAAGGTAACCTTAGTGAAATATTTGTATGTGTTGCTTTGCAATGAGCTGTTTGGTTTGATTGAAATTTTGGGGGTTTTCTGAATGTATGGCAAATGGTATTTGGAATCAAAAAGTTATATCAATATTAGCAATTTCTTAATTAATTCGATTTGGATATCCAACCCAAATAAACGGATCAATGAATATCTGAAATATACAATGAAAAATGCCAATCACTGGCTTAATTAAAATAGCTTACTCATTATATGTTAGTATGCCTTGTATGCTCGTAGTTCTTTAATATTTATTATTGTTAAACAATCTTTTACAACAATGACTTTGCATGTGCATACATATTATTTTGTTGAAAATATGTTTGAAAGCTTTAGTAATCTTTACTATCTGAAATTAATTATCTAGTGTAGGTTAATTTTAACTATATTTACAAAGCTGTTACATTATATTATTTTTATAATTATTACTACAAACATTATTTGTTGCATCATATTTATCATTATTATTATTGTTGTTTTTACTATTATTTATTATTATTATTATTATTAATATATAATTGACAATCATTGACTTGAAATTTTTAATAATATTTAGAAATGTGTTCAAAACTTGATTTTTATTTTTTAGTGTTAATAAAAACAAAGAGTATAAAACTGCAAGAGGTCTGACTCGCAGGGTTTCATTGGAACGTATTCGTATGTGTTAAAGTTTGGAAATACTCTATTTGAATTCTAATAGGGCGCCCCCTATCTTGTGGTAGTTTTTTTTTACATTTCATTGATACAAAATCAGGGCAGTTGGACCACTTGAAATTCTATACTCTTTGATAAAAGTATATATAACCTTGCGACCTGTATCTTTAATGTATAAATGCCAACTCAACACCTTAACATAGTATTATATTCTAGAAGAGCTCGTATAATATAGTGATTGTATTTTTCTTGTAATTTATGTTTCTTGATGTGACTGATAGTGTTTTAGTCTTTTCATTACCTCTTATGAATCATTTGGTCAGTTCACTGTATTTGTGTTGATGTAATGTATAATTATTCTTTATTGGTGCTGTATTTATAAACCACCTTATGTTATTAAATGATGACCATGTTGTAAAATAAGGATTAGGAGTGTTTACAACAAATGTGAAAGAAACAACCTCCCGTGAATTCAAAATGTAAGAAAGTTGTATAGAAATGTGTTGATTTTTCCCCCATCCCTTTATTGATTATGTTAAAATATTGTTTAAAAAAAATATCTTGTAATGTAATTACTGTAATGAGATTGATATCTTCCAAATCATTATCTGAAAATTATTCTTTAAAAGGTGTTTTCTGTAACATATTAAATTATACATACTCTATTGTAGTCCAACATATATTAGTTGAGTTTCTGTTGTTACTTCTAACCTTTCACAAAATTTATTAATTATTTGTATATATAATAGTAGATTAGTTTATCTCAAATACATTCTATGACTTAACCCGCTAACTTCAAAACCTATCACATTATATATTTCTATAAATAAATATGTTCTATCTGAAGAAAAATTAAAACATTGTTTCCTTGTTTTGTCATTTCAGTTTAAGGCCAACTCAGACAGCGTCGTACGACGCAGCCCGACGCGATTCATCGTTGGGGACAGTCTTTAGCCGTCGTGAGAAATATTAATCATGTTTAATATTCTACGACACGACTGCCCCGACATGACAACAAATCGCGTCGGGCTGCGTCGTACGACGCTGAGTTGGCCTTTACGGTATTTTACTAAAATCTGTTCTCATAATTACATGAAAATATATATATGTAGATGATGATAAAGATGATGGTGAGATAATGATGTGATGATGATGATGATGAAAAGATGATAATGAGACGATGATGATGATGATGTAACATGATTTAGAGGCAGATTCACGACCTTATTGGTGGTGAAGGGGGGGGGCACGAGGAGGAATGTATTATATTTTATATTTCAGGTATATTTTATTTAAAAGTATACCTTCAAAAATTCATACAAAAACATTAAAATACATACAAATTCAAACAAATTCATATACAGAAGCCTTTGGCAATAAAAATTGAATTGTAGGCAACTGTGTAAAATTACATTTCCATAAGATAGAAATATTTAAAAAATTAGCATATCTTAAAAAATGTGTGTAGGCCTACAAACGGTCCTTCTCTATGGTCCTTCTCACCTCCCAGTATCCACCCCTTGCTATATCCGCCACTGCTTATAGCCTAGTTTTAAGCTTAAATAATGATAAATCAGATGATACTCAATTAAGCCCATGTGGCCGAATCTTGGAAAAAAGACCAGGTTAAAAATTGGCCAATTTTTTTGTAAAATCAGTGAGCTATAGCTCATACCGGTACTTTTTTTTGACCCCGCCATTTTCCAGTTGTTTCGAATTCCATGATACCTACAGATCACAAGAGTCCTCTGTAGGTTGATAAATGCTACTTAATTCCTCGTTTTAAGCTTAAATAACGATAAATCGGATGATACCCAATTAATAACCATTTTGGAGTCGTTCGCACGGCTGACGGTGTGAATAACTTTGGCCCTATCAATTCAATGACCAGGGTGGGTCCCTGTCTCTTATACACATCTAGATGTGTATAAGAGACAGAACATACAGTATTTAAAAATGCATCTAACAGTTTGAATGATGTTGCTTAGGTGACCCCAGACAGGATTTAGAGTATGAGAAACATGCAAATAACCCAAACTACCATGTTCCTGATGAGGTCCGTGGTTTTATACTGCACTTCTACCGATGTTTAAAAGATGGAAAACTGTTTGAAGTTGGCAGTTGCTATGAGACAAGGTAAGGTCTCCCTCTAATGAATTAAAGACCCCTCCAATTAACAAATTTACTGCAGTCGTGGATGAACAATTATTTTCGGTCTTTTATAATTATTTTTCTAGTTGGAGACTAAACTGCAAAAGACCATGAAAACCCCAGTCCCAAATGTGGTCTTTATTTTGAATGGAGACCTGTAGTATTTAGTATTAATTATTATATTTATAATTAATATTGGATAATGTTCAATTTTAAAATTAAGGAACATACAGTACTTTAAATATAAAACTAAAAACCTGTAACCTTTTCAGTGAAATTTTTAGAATTCTAAGGTAGACTTGAACCATTTTTATGTTTTGCATAAATATACAAAGGAATTCACAAATTAGTACTTATTTTAGTATATTTTTCTACTGTTTCCCTCTTGATATAGTTATCCAAAGCTGACTGAGAAATACTTCAAAACAGAGCCATGGCCAATTCCTGACAGTGTCAGTTTGTTAGTTGAAAAAGGTAAGTTTTTATTAAATTGTTCACATTTAACAAGTTCACATTTGTTATAACAACCAATACGAATCCATACATTTTGTTAGAATTTTTTTAATCAACCAATAGGAACATGAACATTTCTTTTATTGACTAATGAGAATCAACATTTCTAAAGATATAATAATTTTAAGGGCTCAACTATCAGGATTTGAACCCTAGGACAGTTTCTAGTCAATGAAAATTTGATAATCTGGACCGAGTTTTATATTCCTGTTATCTTACATGTTTTTATTCTTCTAGATGCTGTATTTATGATTTTGTATAAGGAGTTGTATTATCGACACATTTATGCTAGGATACAGAGCGGCTTAACACAGGACCAACGGTTTGAGTCCTACTACAACTACTGCAATCTATTTAACTTCATACTTAGTAAGTAAAACATAGCCTTATCAAAATTGTTGTAAATTGCGCCCTCAATCCTCATCAACATCATTCACCAGCTTTCTCCATTATTGTCTGTTTGCTGTTAGTTACATACATTACAGAGTTTATGTAGTTCTATTTCATGAAGCTAAGTGTGCTGGAAGTGTGGACTAGCTCATACAGTAACTTTCTTCTCCCCAAAGGGTCTGTTTGTGTCTGAGCTACCTGGTAAACCAGTGGCAGCTGCTGTAGTCTGTCCACAACAGGGGCTGTATGAACCAGTACACTGGGGTAATCCCCTACTCATCTCAAAGATACTGTATTGTTTTAAGTGCATCTGAGCCAATTGTGTACAATGGGACTACGGTTTTTAGTTGTTTTCCGAGAAAATTTGTTCCACCTCCAGAACCATAAGCCAGTGGCAATATTATAGCTGTAGTTTGCGGCGTCCCTGCCTTAACCACTCAGACATGCTTTGTAAAGTTTACTCTCTGCATTATTAAACAAATTAATATACAATATATATATTTACAGATGCTGAAGGGCCAGTACCGCTTGAGATACCTGACCAATGGCTCTGGGATATCATTGATGAATTCATTTACCAGGTAAGTTACACAGGTAGCATGGCAGCCAGTTAAATTACACAGGTGGTTTGATAACTACGTAAGTTTCACAAGTGGTATGACAAGTGCATGGTAATCATATGTGAGTCAAAATTTGATTACAATAACAAGATTCCTCATGAAATCCTAAATTATTGTAAGTTAATGTAAGGTAGCACTATGCAATCTAAAGGAGTAAATCTTTATGCATTATATAAGTCATTATTTGTGGTTTTTTTCACCTTTAACCCTTCCAGTTCCAAGAATTCAGCAAGTATCGATCAAAATTGAACAACAAAACAGAGACTGAAATAACGATATTGAAAGAAAACCCAAAGGTAATACTTTATTCATTTTATTAACATTTATGACCAACGATTGCCCATTGCATTCTTATTCAATTCCTCTTTCAAGACAAACATATATACAAGATGTTTTACATTTATAATTTATTTCTCATCATCTGTAAGGAGTTTAGTTGTTGGTTGAGAGATAAAGTCTTTGTCCTAATATAAAAATATCTTTTTTGTTAATGTTGATATGAGTATTATTATATATTGAATAGATCTGGAATGTGCACAGCGTCCTCAACGTACTTCACTCTCTTGTGGAGAAATCAAACATCAACCAGCAACTGGAGGTGTATGCTACACAGGGTAAACATGAACTATCTATTTTCAAAATTTTCTTTGGAGTAAAATATTTAGTACAGATGTGCAATTGCAAGATTTGAACCCAAGAATCTAGTATTAGAAAGCTGGCACTTCAACCATGAAACCACAATCCTACATTTCTATTGTTTAAACAGTTTCTTGTACCTTGGTTCTAGGTGATCCAGATAGTGTTGCTGGGGACTTTGGACGCAATCCACTGTACAAGATGTTGGGGTACTTCAGTCTGATTGGTCTTCTTCGCTTACACTCGCTCCTCGGTGATTACTACCAAGCAATCAAGGCACTTGAAAATATTGAGCTCAACAAGAAGGTTTGTCCAAGAAAAAAAAGCTATTTAAATATTCATATTTCGTATGTTTAGAGTTAATGTCACTATTTTCCATCATATTGATTAGTTATATTGCTTTCATGTATTTTATTTTTTAACAAAGTTAAAAAGACAAATGGAATAACCTGATGCTAAATTACAATCTACTGTACATTAACAAAAATTGAAATAAACAATTACATAAAGTTTTTAAAATTAAAGAAAACTTACAACTTACAAGTTACTTTCAGTCAATAAAAGAACAGTGATTTTAGTAAAATTTAATATTTGCACTCATCTCACAGTATACTTACCTCTTTATTTAAACCAAACAAAGTAAGTCATAATTATCATTACCACCCCTTCCCCTTCCCCCCCCCATTTAATAACTGTTCATGCGGTTGGCGCTACGCGAAAAAATACTCACAAGATTCAGCACCCACCCTTAAAATTTTAATACCCACCCTTAATTTTCACTGGCTACATCCCTGAACAGAAAATTTGATAATCAGGACAGAACTTAACTTGTATCTCATATTTGCTCTTTATAGAGTCTGTACTCCCGGGTTCCCGCCTGCCAAGTCACAACATACTACTACGTAGGGTTTGCGTACCTTATGATGCGTCGCTACCAGGATGCTATACGCAGCTTTGCCAATATCTTGCTCTACATTCAGAGAACGATGCGTCTGCTGCCCCCAACATCATACCAGACAGACTTTGTTAGTGTGTTTTTTTCTTTATTAGCATAAACTAAGGAATATTATGTATAACTGGAAAAAAAAAGCAATTTATCAAGAGAGGTTATTGGTACACTTATGATGGATCGAGATAGTTGGAAAGCAGTTACAAAAGAATTCTTAAAATTTACACGTGCAATACAGTAGTTGTGTGTTGGACAGGTGTGAATGTGAACCAAAGATCTTATAAACACAAGATGGCGTTCTCCATGATTTCCGCGTGAAAATTCTGTAATAACGAAGTGTGCAGCCTCCTCTTGCAAAAGTGAAAACTTTTGAACTTTGCTTTGACCATAGCGTACACCGCGCGACTTTACGTTTACATGTAACAATTAGAAGCATCTAATTTACAATGTGCCCTCTCGTTAGAACAATTGAGGAACAATTAATGTACTGGGTAACAAACTTTGGCGTAACACGAACGCCCTATCTCAGATCTATGGAAATGACTAGGATGCCCTCTCCCAAAAGTGATTACTTTTATCTGGCAAATCTACGCTTCTTTTTGTTACGCGTCAATCGTGGAGAGCGCCATCTTGTGTTTATAAGGTCTTTAATGTGAACTCATGTCCTTGGCTCCCTGAGTGAACACTGTCGGACGTGAACTTGTGTTAGTATTTCCTTTTACAGGGTTCAAATTTCCCGAAAGCAATTTCTGTAGAAAGGGCCCTCAGTTGCTGCGATAAATCCCATTCTCTACTGCAAATTTTTTGCTCAGCTATCCAGGGATAGGCATCCATAAAAATTGATACAGAAAAAAAAAAGAAACCTGTTGATTGTTGCTGTAGAAGAAGAATGAATTATTTGCTGATGGAGCATTTTGAGGAAATATGAACCCTGCTTATTGTGCAATGTCACCATAAAACTAAAATATTCAGTGCCGTTGCGGATAATTTTCTATTTTTAGATTAAGAAGATGAATGAGCAGATGTACACACTGCTAGCAATCTGCTTGACACTCCACCCAATGCGAATTGATGAAAGTATTCACACTCAAATGCGTGACAAGGTCGGAGACCGCCTTGGACGTATGCAGAAAGGGTGAGTTGCATCTTGTTCATTTTGCGGCGTCATTCAGGATGAGTTTTATATATTTATTTGGCATCCTTGTAGGTGTGTATATGCTAGTATCTACTAACATGAGTGTCGTATCTAGGGGTGCACTGGTGGGTGGGACGTACATTTCCTAAAAAATAATGCGCCTCCCTCCCAGTTTGCCCTTCTCATAGAAAATGTTTGAAGCAAAAAATTCATGTTGAAGTAGATAAAAATCTCCTTATTTTGCGAGTTAGTGCTACTCATTTATTTAGCCCCCCTCCACTTCACCTTCACGCCCCCCCCCTTTTCATTTCGAAGGCATCTAGATACGCCACTGACTAACATTGAAACTTAACAAATGCTAATTTATAATCTCCGATTGTCTATTTAAGTACTTAATATTAAGTACTTTAATAATTATCATTATATACCTTAATTATTATTATTATTTTTATATGTTTTGATAGTGACATCATGGCTTTCCAAGAATGCTTTGTGTTTGCTGCTCCCAGGTTCCTCTCACCTGTTCCACCAAACTATGACTTACCACAAGCGAACTACCACAAGGAACCTTCCATGCTGCAGACTAAAGTCTTCCTTGAGGAGGTTCGGCAACAGCTACTCATCCCAGAGATAAGGAGGTAAAGAGCAGCTTTCTTGAACCACCAATTAAGAGTACTTGTTTACTTAACTATATCAGCAGAGTTGAAACTTCGTCCTTAGCAATACTCATAGCTAAAATCAACATTAAAGTTTATTTGTCTTTATAATAATGCTAAGGTAGAAGTAAAGGTCAAAACCTAAAGCTTTGGACTCACAGGCCATAGTGCCCGTCTATTTGGGGGTTTACCACTCCTCCCGCACTGCAGCCTGTTAAACTTTCTCAGCATATGCCGGTAAACATTTATACTCCTGGGTAGAGAGAGACAAACATAGATAAAGTGTTGTGGCTGAGGATACAAGAGACTTGTATAGAGTTGAGTGTCTGAGGCAAAACCGTTGCCAAAAGTGTTTCTGATAATACAGGGTTCATCTATATTAGACTAAATCAATAAAAATAGAGAATGCCTGTCAAAATGAAAAGTAATTTGTCACTAGGTTTGAGGATGATGATGAATTATAATTATTATTATATTCATAACAATTTTAACACAAACTAACACAATTTGTGTGTAATCTGATATATTGTTCATTATTTTTTTTAAATTTGCATTCAATACTTTCTTCTATTCTTATTCAGTTTCTTGAAGCTGTACACAACAATGCCAATACCAAAGCTTGCTGCATTTCTTAACCTTGTGAGTAAAAAATATAGATATTAAAATTTGCTCACTATTAATTGAAAATGCCTGACACAAGTTTTAGACTCCATTTTAGGTGATAGTTACCTTTAATAAATGTATGCTGGTTAAAAAACTTTACACTTTTTATTTTGTAGTCTGAAGAAGAATTTAGAACCCAGTTTTTGTGTTTCAAGGTATGTAATTTTGTTTAATTACTAGCTTTTCATACTTAAATTCTGGAAAATCTTCATTGAATTAATTAAAACTTAAGAATCGAAATATTTTCTATACATTACAGCATAAGATGATGAATTTGGTTTGGACAAAAGGCTCAAGTGGTCTTGATGGAGAATTCCAGGCTGCATCCGAGGTGGATTTTTATGTTGATGGTGTAAGTACAGTCTGAGATAGTAATGAAAATAATTACTGTCAGTTCGAGTTCAACTCGAGCACTACAAACTCACCCTTTTTGACAAACTCACCCCTTACAAACCCAACCCTCAACAAACTTGCCCACTACAAACCCGCCCCTGACTATACACAGTCAAACCTCCCCCCAACT